TTTTAGTTATTTTATCATGAACAAGGAATTTTCCTTACAGTTAGTTTTTGTGCCTGAATATAATCAAACCACAACTGTAGCATTGATCGGAAAACTGTTTTACGTTTTTCTGTTTTTCTAATAGTAGTTTGTGATCATTTTGAAAGGCACTTCAAGGCATATTCCACTCTGTTTTTCTCACATGCCTCGCATGCAGTGAACAAACAATCCAAAAACTGAGAAACTTCTCAATGAATTGAAGTAAAAACAGTGAAAATATATCAAAACATCCATTTACAAATTCTTACACAAGTCGTGCAGTATAATACAAGTCTTGTTTATCCAGTCATATGAATTTGGGAACTTCACAAAAGGTGTAACTTATGCTCTCTTCAAAGCCAGACTCCTGGTTCAATCCCAGGTGGGAGCCCCTCTGTGCAGAGTTTGCATGTGCTCCCTGTGTCAGCATGGGTTTTCTCCAGGTACTCCGGCTTCCTCTCACAGTCCAAAGACATGCAGGTTAATTGGTGACTCTAAATTGTCTGTAGGTGTGAATGTGAGTGTGAATGGTTGTCTGTCTCTATGTGACAGCCCTGTGATAGTCCTCAACAGATTCATAAAATCATAGAATTGTAAAACTATAAAAAGAGTTGCAGCAGCGCAAAGCGTAAAAAGAAAGAGTTTCAGACTGGAGGACCTCAGGAGGTCAGAGCAAATTAAAGGCTAAAGTGAACAGATACATTTTTAGCTTTCTTTTAAAAATATTTAGCGAGCTAGCTTCCCTGATATCTATTGATGGTGTGTTCCAAATCTTTGAGGCGTAATTGACAAAGGCTGCATCCCCGATCTTCTTCCTGCTGTTGGTGGGAACCTCCAACAAACCAGCAGTAGATAATGTCAGGCAAATAGTTAACAAGGAAGTTAGCAATGTAGCTTGGTCCTAGCCTATTTAGGGTTTTGTATACAAGGAGGAGAAGCTTAAAATCAATTCTAAATGTAACAGGAAGTCAGTGCAGAGCAGCTCAGACTGGACTGATGTGCTCTCTCCTCTGGTATCTGGTTAATATCTGAGCTGCAGGGTTTTGAATGAGCTGAAGTCACCCAGTGGTGTTTTTTGAGAGGCCAGTAAAAATGCTTGAAATAAAGGCATGAATCAATTTCTTGGCATCTTTTTCATTAAGAAATGGTCATACCTTAGCTTTGTTTCTGAGGTGACAAAATTATGTTTTCATCACCTTGTTAATGTGGGACTTGAAGCTCACACCAAGGATCACACCAAGTGAATGTCACATAGGTTGAATAATTGATATACAAATGGTCTTTTCTTCCTGTTGATGGGGGTGTATTGTAGAATGAGACTCACAAAAGGACAATTGAGAGGTTTAAAGTAACTTTCTGTGAGTGGCCACTGTACACTGCATACCTGACCTTTTGTTTCCAGACAGATGGAGTGACATCTGGGATGTTTTGGTGCAGGAGGCGTCAGAGCCGACAGCCAGAAGGACGCTCCAGGAGCAGATCGTGGCAGAGAAGGAATGTTTCATGATATTTAGTATTATCCCCTGTTCTGCTTCGCACTGCATGAGGGACACCAGTGTCACTCTGTGGTTTACGAGTTTACAACCCTTTAAAATTCAAGGTGAGTCGTGTGAGAATAACTGACTGACTTGGTCCCTCACTCTTCATGGTGGAGTGGTGAGGTGGTCCTCCAACATACAGTGTCAAGCCAAAAGCAGGACTCATACATCTCCACTGAGGTGTGTCAGCGGTTCGGCTTACATGCCTCCAGCGGCATACGAATTGATTTACAGCCTGTTGATTGTCGTGGCACCACCACAGCACAGATGTGTCATTTATTATCAGGCACTGACATGCATTCTTTATATAACCAAAGTAACTGTATTTACAAGGGAAGAAAAAGGAGACAGAAGTGATGTAGAAGAAGAAAGACAAACATGACAGCGCATATCATAAAGCCGCTTTGTCAGTGGTTGCAGACGACTTTTTTTTTTTTTTTGCATGAAAAACAAAAGGATGAAAAAACAGTGGATGTTTTTTGTTTTGCATTCACTGAATAAAGGAAGAAATCAGAACAATACAGCTGGTGCAGCTGCTGGTTTAGCAGATACAGTCCACTACACAAATGTTAGGCTTGAGGTGTAAATGGCTAAAATATTTTCTGCATCTACAGGAAAGACATTGTCAATTAAAACCTTTATGGGCCATTCTACAGAATTGGTGCAAAGTCAGAGTTGGAAACATCTTGAAATAAATGTGTCTTTTCCCCAAAACTTTTCATGTATGTTAGTTGTATAATATCCAAGGTACTCATTTCTAGTAGTTGTACAGTTAATTCTCATTTTGTATTTTCATACAGTTTTGGAATATTTTTCCTCTCCCAAAATTTGTCACTACCGAAACACAATGAAATATCACATGAAATAAATGGTTATATTAATCTATAAAAATTTTGTTTATATCTACCTTGTAAATATATTTTTTTGAAATTTTATTTTTCAAAATTCACAGGTAAATTGAAAATTATATAATTTTAACAAATTTTTTAACCATTATTTATCAGAATCATTGGATTTTGAATCCATTTTTTCTTTGAAAAGGGCATAAAGTTGTTCATAATGATTACAAACTTTAGGATTCATTAGTTTTAATACACATTGAACCAAAGACCATCACAATATCTTAGTTCATAATTCAATATATTTTATTTTTGACAAAACATCACATGTTTCGGTAGTGACGGCACATTTTCAGTAGTGACAATACCGTTTCGGTAGTGACCACAATATATTGTTTGTCACGGCTGAATAAGACTGTCATCATTTTATGTCAATAAATATAACTAATAACTCATAAATGTTGAATACATGTATATCAGACACACATCTGACATTAAATATCTGAAAATGACATAACAGTGCTTGAATTTCAGATTACACCGTTTCGGTAGTGACTGTTTCGGTAGTGACAATTTTAGATAACTAGCTAGCCTTGCTTAAAGAGGTTTATCAGCTCATGGTTAGCTAGCAGTTTTCTGAACTATTGCACACACATAAAAACTATTTTTTCTGTCATAAAACCAAAAAAAGTTTGTTTAAGTGCAGTAAATAGGTGTTCGTTAGTGATGTCTTTTAAAGTTACACACTGATTTTCAGACTTTTGAACACCTTTTCTTCAAAATGATGAGACCTAGCTACTCACCATGCAGCCAAAACATGAGAGGGACAAAGGAATACTTCCTGATAAAAAAATTAGAGGTGTGGCTTAATTCAGTCTTAGCCTATGGACTAAAACCTACAATGTTTCTGTAGTGACAAGAAAATGAGGGACAAGATTTTTTACACACATTTTCATGATTTACAAAAAATATATAAAATCAATCTACTTTTTTACACTTCCATTTCAAATAAATCAAAAAGACCCTTCTAAAAAGAACAAAAGAACATTTTTATAAAAATCATTTCACTATCATTTTCATGAATTGAAATTTAGGAGTTGGGGTTGGGGACAGCCACCTCACAATGTAAAGTACCCTATAAATGATGATTTTATATATATTAAGCATACTGATATCTTAAATATCATTTGGTGTTTCAATAGATAACTGCAAGATCTTATTAAACATGTAAAATTTGCATACTTAAATGTTTTTTAAATTTGTTTTTTTGTTTGGGGACAGCAGTTTGCACCAATTCGGTAGAATGGCCCTTATACTAAGTATTAAACCAAGCTTTTGTCATTGTGTGTGGCCAGATATAAAGTCACGTTGGCCCTCTCACAGTCACATCTCAGTCTTGTGAAATAGAAGATGGGAGTCCAAAAAATAGCCACTGACTTGTCATTTAAGTAAAACAGTTTTCCACCAGAGTTAACCATGTTTTGTCAGCTTTTACCAGCCCAGATGAGTGTCATATTTTCTTACATTCCATGCCCTTCTTTAAGTTTCTTTTTGAAACTGAGCTATGTAACTAACTTTGGATATTTAGTAAAGCTGATGGGCTACAGCTGTGATAACACAAACATTAAGTGTTGGTGTTATCACAGCTGGAACTAAATGCCCAATGCAGGGACCAAATGAATGAAAAAAAGACTCTTTGGATGGTGCTATTACCTTTTCTTTTGGAAACTGGAGGATAAAACTGTACAACGATACACATTTAATGCCTGATTTTGCTATAGTGGAATATGTTGTGGCGGAAAAAAAGTAACTTATATAACTGGTTAATTGGGAATCAATTCAAGGCTGACTGTCAGGGCTTTTTCTCAAACTGCATACATGCCCCTCCTCGAGTGCCTTCAAGGCATCTGGAGATTAAACAAATTAGATTTTTAGCACTTAGTTTTTCCCCATTTTCTTCATGAATTGTTTTATTGCTGGAGCTTTACATGAGACGGTGCAGTCTAGGAGTTAAGCTCAAACTTAAAGGTGAATTCAAAGGGGATTTTAATCTGTATAGGTTTCAGTTAGCTGCTCCTGGTGTCCCCATGTCAAAGTTGAGAGTCCTCTGCCCTGTCCCTGCTGATATCCCCCTATTAGCCTTGCTGCTTATTTAACTGACCCTTCTCATCCAGCTCTGCACCCCATCACACTGTCCCCCTGCTGTTTGCTCTCCTTTCCTCCTCTCATGGCGGATGTGATCTTCTCCCTCGCAGCCCCGAAAGCCTACATTTTCCTGGTGAGGAGGCACTTTATTTGAAACTTAAATATCAAAGGCTTTGTGAGCTGTCACGCAAAAACCAATATTTTTTTTCTGGAGCTGCTTTGCATCAGAGCTTTGGAACAGGGCCCTACTTTATCATTCTGTGAAAATGTTGTTTCCTAGAGTAATATGTCATCTATTTAAAATGAGCCACCAGCAAACTACTGTAAGTTAATCTTTCTCACAGAAAAGTACCCGAGCAGATAGAAATCTATTCATCCAATGACGTGCTGCTTCCTCTCAGTTTCAAGGTCATGCAATTGCTCAGTGGTATTTAAGAAAGGTATGTGAAGATTGAGTACAGATGACTAATTATTTCAGTGATAACTTGAATATCGTCTCAAGTTGTTTCTTCTGTGTCCATCCCCTTGGAGACACAAGATAGGTGCTTTATGGAGGGGTGGGTTAAAGTTTAATGACCTGGTAATAGTTACATATTGAGAATCGCAGTAAGCCTATTAGCTATCAGCTGCTGCAGATCTGGGCAGACGCACACAGTGAGCAGGCTGTCACCGAGGGCCCCCGAGAGAAACCAAGGTAAGATAGAAACTTGTTTTACATGTCTGGGAAGGTTTATCTCAAACATCCAGGTGGTACAATGTTGAATCCAAAGCCAAGACTAGGATTCAAATTTCTCCTCGTGGTCTCTCTAACCTCACAAACATCCTTTTATCCTTTAATTGGTAAAATTACTTTGTACTTAAAGATGTGAAGGCAGGCGACAATTTATATAAATGGTGTGTGTGCTGTAATGTTCAACAGTAGCGCTTATGCTGTGTGACTAAATCAATTCACGTGCCTGTTACATAATCTGGTTTCATTTCTCTGACAGACCAAAGAATCTGCATGACAGTAGGCTTTAGGGGTTTGGAGCAAATGGGGGGAATTTTTTTAAGCTAAAATAGGCTTTTTCTCTATTTGTCTTATTGGCTGCTAAAAGCAGAGCCAGGAGGATTCACTGCCTCACAGTCAGATCATCTCAGACATACAAACCTCCTCAGTGCATGATTCAGACAACTTTGGTTTAGCACAATTATTCAGAGGTTTATATGCCATCAGAACCAAATCCTTCTGTTGTCTGAGCTGACTGCATTATTTTATATGTATGTTTCAACATAGCAGGGTTTAAAGTTAATGTTTTTTCCTCGGGCAAGCAAGAAGTTTACTTGCCTGAAGTTAATTTTCACTTGCCCCTATACAAATAGTTTTATTTATTAGCAGTAATCAAATAACAAAAAAGCCAAAAGTTTTTCAGAAACTTGATGTACATTTAAAAAATGAACCCTGTTTTACCCGCCTTGCTCTTAAACCATCCGCACACTGCCAGCGGTACCCAACTAAACTCCTGTTTCCAGAGTAATTGAAATGCTTATGTGCAAGGGCATATGTTTTATGTTCAGTATTTGGGGAGAAAATATGAATTGGCAGGTATGGGAGTCCTCTGCAAGAAAATCAAAGACTTAATTTTCTGCATCTTGGTGAATTTTTATGCACCAATTCTGCGTTCTCTGCGTCAATTTATGGTGTACATGTTCCTTAAGAGGGACGTCCCATTTGTTCATTCATAAAAACAGGTGCAATACAAGTACAGGCCACCAGACATAATGAAGATGTGAAATGGGACACCCTGATAAGCTATCTGAAGCTTGTGATCAAGGGTCCAGACACAGAGCAGATATATGTGTGTAAATATATATATATATATATATATATACAGTACAGGCCAAAAGTTTGGACACACCTTCTCATTCAATGCGTTTTCTTTATTTTCATGACTATTTACATTGTAGATTCTCACTGAAGGCATCAAAACTATGAATGAACACATGTGGAGTTATGTACTTAACAAAAAAAGGTGAAATAACTGAAAACATGTTTTATATTCTAGTTTCTTCAAAATAGCCACCCTTTGCTCTGATTACTGCTTTGCACACTCTTGGCATTCTCTCGATGAGCCTCAAGAGGTAGTCACCTGAAATGGTTTTCCAACAGTCTTGAAGGAGTTCCCAGAGGTGTTTAGCACTTGTTGGCCCCTTTGCCTTCACTCTGCGGGTCCGGTGACTGTGGAGGCCAGGTCATCTGCCGCAGCACTCCATCACTCTCCTTCTTGGTCAAATAGCCCTTACACAGCCTGGAGGTGTGTTTGGGGTCATTGTCCTGTTGAAAAATAAATGATCGTCCAACTAAACGCAAACCGGATGGGATGGCATGTCGCTGCAGGATGCTGTGGTAGCCATGCTGGTTCAGTGTGCCTTCAATTTTGAATAAATCCCCAACAGTGTCACCAGCAAAACACCCCCACACCATCACACCTCCTCCTCCATGCTTCACAGTGGGAACCAGGCATGTGGAATCCATCCGTTCACCTTTTCTGCATCTCACAAAGACACGGCGGTTGGAACCAAAGATCTCAAATTTGGACTCATCAGACCAAAGCACAGATTTCCACTGGTCTAATGTCCATTCTTTGTGTTTCTTGGCCCAAACAAATCTCTTCTGCTTGTTGCCTCTCCTTAGCAGTGGTTTCCTAGCAGCTATTTGACCATGAAGGCCTGATTGGCGCAGTCTCCTCTTAACAGTTGTTCTAGAGATGGGTCTGCTGCTAGAACTCTGTGTGGCATTCATCTGGTCTCTGATCTGAGCTGCTGTTAACTTGCCATTTCTGAGGCTGGTGACTCGGATGAACTTATCCTCAGAAGCAGAGGTGACTCTTGGTCTTCCTTTCCTGGGTTGGTCCTCATGTGTGCCAGTTTCGTTGTAGCGCTTGATGGTTTTTGCGACTCCACTTGGGGACACATTTAAAGTTTTTGCAATTTTCCGGACTGACTGACCTTCATTTCTTAAAGTAATGATGGCCACTCTTTTTTCTTTAGTTAGCTGATTGGTTCTTGCCATAATATGAATTTTAACAGTTGTCCAATAGGGCTGTCGGCTGTGTATTAACCTGACTTCTGCACAACACAACTGATGGTCCCAACCCCATTGATAAAGCAAGAAATTCCACTAATTAACCCTGATAAGGCACACCTGTGAAGTGGAAACCATTTCAGGTGACTACCTCTTGAAGCTCATGGAGAGAATGCCAAGAGTGTGCAAAGCAGTAATCAGAGCAAAGGGTGGCTATTTTGAAGAAACTAGAATATAAAACATGTTTTCAGTTATTTCACCTTTTTTTGTTAAGTACATAACTCCACGTGTTCATTCATAGTTTTGATGCCTTCAGTGAGAATCTACAATGTAAATAGTCATGAAAATAAAGAAAACGCATTGAATGAGAAGGTGTGTCCAAACTTTTGGCCTGTACTGTATATTTACATATATATATGAATTTACAAAATATGTTTACCAACACGTTAAAAAAGTGCATGTATCATACAGTAACATTGACAACATTTGGTTTAATAGGTCAGATACAACAGAGACATGCGGCAAGTGGAAATAACAGTACAATTTAAATGGTTTCAGAGTAGAGAGACTCCAGCTGGTCTAGGTATTTAAGCTTTGTCATATTTTGGTAGTAACTGCTGCCATTGTCATGATCCTGGGTTGTTTGGACTTTGTTTTGGAGTTTTCTCTTTGTGTTCCTTGTTTCATGTGGTTCATTCGTGTTTAATCAGCTTCCTGTTTTATTTTGTAGATGTAGATTCTCTCCATGTGTCGTGTCTGGTTTTACTTCCTGTCTTTGTGTGTTTTCCCGCCTGTTTTCTGTCACACCTGTCTCGTTGGTCCTTCCCTGTTCCCAGAGTCTTCCCTTCACACCTGTTCTATATTAGTCTTGTCTGCTCCACCCTTGTTGTTAGCCAATCTCTATTTCCTTCCTTTGGCCCATGTCTTCCTGCTTCAGCTGTGTCTCGTTCCTGTGATTAGTTTTCTGTGTATATATACCTGTGTGTTTATCTTTGTCAGTTTGTCTGTGTTAAATCTGTGTTTCTCCTGGGTGCATTCTGTGCTCGATCCTGTGCTTATGAAGCTAATTTTTTGTAAAAACCTCAGACTGTCTTTTGGGTCCTCCTCTGAACTTACACGTGACAGCCACGAGCTTATTTTCCCCCACTCCTTGGGTACTTCAGACATCAGCGCAGAAAGAAAACCTAACAAAAAATCGATATGCTTAATGGTGAAGTGTGTAAGATTTAGGAGGATTTAGCGATATCTAGCGGTGATGTGCAGATTGCAACCAGCGGAAACTTCTTCTGGCTAGAATCTCATCAGTGTTCATTGTTCAGGAGGTTTTTACCATGAGCTGAATTATCCACAAAGGTCTCTTACTCTCCAAAACAAACTGACCAGGTGATTAAAACCTGTAAAAACACTGAATAAACCAGTTTCATGTTACAAATAAATGTATCTGTAATGGTGTTTGGCATTTCGGAGACAGGCGGCTCACCCAACGCATGCTCCCTCTAATTTCCCTATTAACTTCATGTGTGCCCACCTTTTCCTGATCCAGACATTCAGGAGGTGTTTATCAGGAGCTGAATTATCCAAAGAGGTCTCTTCAGCTACCACTAAATAAACTGGTTTTACGTTCCAAATCAGTGTAACTCGGACACTGCAGATGGGCCTCTATCTACAATGGCTGATGCAAAAATGTGCATGGCCCTATCTGAAGCCAGTGTCTGGTTTGTCTGTTCTGGACTACTGAAAGAACATGGTGATCTCCATAAACAAGGACCCCCTCCCTATGTAGATATAAATGGCTCATTCTAAGAAAACAAAAATGTGCCTGATAAGGCAAGTGAGTTGCTAGATTTACTAGCCCAATGTGGCCTTGGGTGTACTACCAAACAGGCCTACAAAGCCCAGGCTCAGGGGCCAAGGGGTCAGACAGCCTCTAAGCCAGAACCTCTTCATGAAGTTGCTGTCAATAACTTTGCCTTTCTTGACAAAGGGCTTAGTCATTCATGTCAGTAAAAGAGTCCCTCCTAAAAAAGTACTAAAAAAGAACAACTGAAGGAAGAGCTTAAACATTCACTTTGAAGATTCTTCACAAGAAAGAAACCATCATGACACATTTTAAGTGAGTGTTCCTATCCCCTCAGTTTATATGTAGGACTTTAGACCTTTTATGTGTTCAGCTCAGGGGCCCACTGTGTCATGATCCACCTCTGGACAAGACGTCTACTCGCCCTGGACAATCCCTATTGTTGAGACCTGCATAGGTATTTATTTGATGGACAGTTGCAGGCTAGTTAACCACATACAATGCCCTCCAAAAGTATTGGAACAGTGAGGCCAATTCCTTTATTTTTGTTGTAGACTGAAAATATTTGGGTTTGACATCAAAAGATGAATATGGGACAAGAGATCAACATTTCAGCTTTTATTTCCAGGTATTTACATCTGGATCTGATACACAACTTAGAAGATAGCACCTTTTTGTTTGAACCCACCCATTTTTCATGAGAGCAAAAGTATTGGAACATGTGACTGACAGGTGTGTTTTGTTGCCCAGGTGTTTCCCCATACATTGATTATTCAAACAATAAATAGCACTGAATGTCTGAGCTCAGTTTCAGATTGGGTACAATAGGTTTTGCCTGTGCAGACTGCATTTAGAGGTGGAACCAACATGAAAACCAGAGAGCTGTCTATGGGTGAAAAAGAAGCAATTGTGAATCTGAGAGAAGATGGACATTCAATCAGAGCCATTGCACAAACATTGGCCATAGCCAGTACAACCATTTGGAATGTCCTGAAGAAGAAAGAAACCACTGGTGTACTAAGCAACAGACGTCGAACAGGTAGACCAAGGAAAACATCAGCAGTTGATGACAGAAACATTGTGAGAGCTGTAAAGAAAGACCCTAAAACAACTGTTAGTGACATCAGCAACAACCTCCAGAGGGCAGGAGTGAAGGTATCACAATCTACTGTTCGCAGAAGACTCAGAAGTCTACAGAAACATTCTGTCTGTTAATTTAAAGAAAGATGCAACCAAACTGATTGGGAGATCCTTCATCATGCAGCAAGATACTGACCCAAAACACACTGCCAAAACAACAAAGGAGTTCATCAGGGGCAAGTAGTGGAAGGTTTTAGACTGGCCAAGTCAGTCTCCAGACTTAAACCCAATAGAGCATGCATTTTACCTGCTGAAGAGGAGACTGAAGGGAGTAACCCCCCAAAACAAACAACAACTGAAAGAGGCTGCGGTGAAAGCCTGGAAAAGCATCACAAAAGAAGAATGCAAAAGTTTGGTGATGTCAATGGGTCACAGGCTTGATGCAGTTATTGAAAGCAAAGGATTTGCAACTAAATATTAAGTCTCATTCACTTTAATCTATTTTAAGTTTATATGTTCCAATACTTTTCCTCACCTAAAAATTTTGTGTTCCATTACAAATAATGCTATCTTCTAAGTTGTGTATCAGATCCAGATGTAAATACCTGTTTAATAAAAGCTGAAATGTTGATCTCTTGTCTCATATTCAGCTTTTGATGTCAAACCCAAATGTTTTCAGTCGACAACAAAAGTAAACGAATTGGACTCACTGTTCCAATACTTTTGGAGGGCACTGTACATTCAGTGTGACAGAGTAGCACAGTATTTTCATCCATTTAATCAACCTTCATTTAAACATTCTGGCAATGTCATTTAAAAAGAAGCTCAGTATGATGTTTGACACGAAGAAGCCTCAAGCCCTGTGTCTGTGTCAGCCTGTATTAAACTTCTTACTGTAGTGTTTCCACTGTAGCCTGATAAGCAGTGAGGTATTAACGATGTCAGTAGAGGCGTAGTGGATTTGTTTACAACCAGGAAGTTAAACAGTTCAAAGTGAGTTTAGGGTTATATTGCTGCCATTAAAGCCTCCATATAATTTGACCTGTTGCCCACAGATCAGCTTAGCTGGGTTAATTCCTAGCTAACAGTTTTACTTTTAGTCTTGTTTGATGTGGATATGTCAGAGAGAGATATGGAGGTGCTGACTGGTGTTAAATCCTTTGGTTGAAGTTTGGCAGCTTGGTGTTTGAGTTGTCTTCAAATTAATCAAGCAGCCTGTGTTTGTACTGACATGACAGTGCATTACCTAGACAAAACATTATGATGAACACCATCATGTTTGTGCTGTCTATTTTATCACAGCTCAGTGACTTCTACATCCGCTCAAGGGCAACTCCACGGATTTTACACATCGTCTGTTTACATGTCTGAGAGGGAGTACTACTGCATCTGTGAAAAACTTTGTTTAAAGCCTTTTGTTGCTCTACGGGGAGGTGCGCAAAATCTTAAAATTGCCTCAAGTGATGTCACCTGAGTCACAGAATTGGTTGGTGAAGACAACAAGTTTGACAGTGGTGTGGGGTTATCAAGAAATTGGTTTCCCAGAGCTCTGTAGCTTTGCTTGAGGATTATGGCTCAAGGCTACATTTCAATCAGGAGAGACAGGTGAATGTGGTAAAGATAATTGTTTACTACAGATTACAGGTGTACAGATTAACAGATGATATGTGATGATTACGTTTTAACAGAAAGACTTTGGCACTTGGACACTACAGGGAGAATGTTTAATCTCATCTGCACTGGGCAGCAGCAAAATAAATCACACCATGCAGTCCAGACACTGGTGGTGGCGTCTGATGACTCTGATGACACTGATGAGCGCTGATGAAGCTGATAAATCTGGGGGTGCGCACAACAGCAGCATGAACAATCATATTTAAAGAGTCAGCAGCAAGATGATAGGCAAACAATGAAGGTGTGTCGCCCAAAGACTATAAATAATGGACGTTGCTACTGTGACATCACCCATTGGTTTGACGACTGCCATTTTGAAGCCTCAAGCTCGGCATTTCAGCCGTTGCCATCTTAGCTTTTTTGGAGCCAGAAGTGACCATATTTAGAAGAGAGGTTGGAGCTGTTGAGGAGTGAGAGGTGGCTGGGTGTCATAGACTGTGGTGACACCTCACAGACAGCCTGTCACTCAGATGGCCCCATCCTTAAATATGCATACTTTTAAGTCTTTATAAAATGTAAATGGATGGTTTATAAAACAATTCACCCCGTACACTTGTCATAAATGTTGAAATTAGCTACAGAGACCAAAACTGTTTTTTGTACCAGGCTGTAAAGTTGTTTATTTCTGCTGTACAGTCGGGCATGTTAACATTGGAATCTATGGGGATTCACTCTGTTCTGGAGCCAACCCCCAGTGGCCATTTAGGGAACAGCAGTTTGTGGCACTTCAGCCTCGGAGGTTGCCTTTTGGTGTCGGCATGTTATTAGTTAAATGTAATAAGCTGACTGAACAGCTGATATCTCAATTAAAAGCGCCAGACATTGATGGCATTGAATTTTGAGTGGGCAAGTGTTTCAAAGCAGGTGGCACTAAGGCTCATTTGGTCTATCTCCACCATCTTTTCAGTTGCCATTTTCTTTTGCAGTAAAGACAAGCAGTGAGCCGTGACTACGCATAAGCCAATGATTCCCTAACTAACTTCTGACGCACTTGGACTGTTGACCATTGTAGTTGCTTAGTTATACATTTAACATTATTCACCTGTTGGTACATGCTGTAACACAACAAACAGATGCAACTCCATAGTAATAAGCTGATGTTAGGCTTCCGTGCTGTTGGGAATCAGAGTTTAAAAATCACTCTGGTCGAACATCCAGTAATGATGATGAAAATAATAGGGGATAGAGGATTAACTGTCCTCATTGTTGTGACTATGAAGACATCCGGATGTTTTGCTTGTAAAAATGATTCCTGGTTTAAATTTATATATACACATAAACTTCACATTAACTGAACAAATACATGAAAATATTTGACATAAGTGGCACATAGTTGTGAACAAGCTGTTTTTTCCACATAAATACTCTGTAGGTTTTGTGTATTAGTACTGTTATATCAAGTTCCAGCTAAATTGGAGTCATTAATATGTATAATCTTTTCATGTAATAAATATTTAAATACATAGGTTTCAAAGATTAAACCTTAAAATGAGGATTGAGGTATCACATTGCTTGAAATTTCTGGATATTTATTGATTCTGCAGATAATTATGTATCATTTATGTGTGTTTTGGGTTTGCTTGCTTCCTTTTTTTTATAAAGCACAGCTATTTTCAGCTGCATTTTCATTTTAAATGTAAACATTTAAATTCAAACAAATAATGTTTTTTCTCTTGACAGGCATTAAATAGAGCATTTATTGTCGCTCAGCTGTAAAAAAATAAAATGGCAAAGAAGACAATAATTGTGGCGCTGGCGATGCTGCTGTTGGCAGCCGCCGCCACATTCGTGGGTGTCTTCTTTGGCGTTGGAAAAATTAAGCGACCAAGTGAGCAGGTATTCTTGAAGGCAGCTGTGGCAGCAGATGCTGGGCCATGTTCAGAGGTCGGCAGGTGAGAGCTTACACACTGAAACATCCTCCAGGACAGACACATTGCTCTGCTGTTGACAGACTCATATGCATGAACATAGAAGCATGAAGATTGCTTGCACATACAGCCATATCGATGCAAATCCCTGTGAACTTGCTTTATTCTTTGCCAATATGGGGTCTTAAGTCTTAAGTGTAAAAACTAATCCTCCACCCCTTCCCTCCTTGTGTGTGTTTTAATTAATTTTACCACAGAGACATACTAAAAAAGGGGGGGTCTGCAGTAGATGCCTCTATAGCTGCTTTACTGTGTGTTGGACTCGTGAACGCTCACAGTATGGGCATTGGAGGAGGAGTTTTCTTCACTATCTACAACGCCACAACTGGTACACCTTCACTCTCAGATATGTTTCTACCACAAAGTCTTGTCTCTGTTGTTTATGTTCCCACTGATGAAACAAACTCATACAACTTCCTAATTATCTGGTTCCTAAATGCATTTCCACACAGGGGAGGTTGAGACCATTGATGCCAGGGAGACGGCACCACGCAACGCAACAGAAAACATGTTTGGGAACAGTACAGATTTATCCCAGAAAGGTAATGTTTAACCAGTGCTATCAGACATGGAAATGACCTGATGGAAATTAAAGCTAACGTTATCATGAAAGAGGATGACCTTGTGATAGTGACGACAAAAGAGAGTGTGTAAATTCTCTGAGAGCTTGATAGACTCTAGAAAAAGAGTATACCAATGCCCTAAAATAATGTCTAATAACTTATGAGGCAATAATCTAAGTCTTTGTTTCCTTTGCTTCCATGGTTGGTAGGAGGGTTGTCTATTGCTGTACCAGGGGAGATTCGTGGTTATGAAATGGCATACAAACGACATGGCAAACTACCTTGGAAGGACTTGTTCCAACCAAGCATTGAGCTTGCAGAAACAGGTTTTCCTTTGGGCAGGGCACTTGCCATCGCTCTGTCCAGACACAAAACTACTATCATTGCTGACCCAGCGCTATGGTGAGAAGCATTGACCTAAGATGATAAAACTCACTTAAAGCAAGCTTTGTTACCATCTTAAATTATTTTTTCCTCTATTTCAGTGAAGTGTTTTGTGGACAAAAGGATGACGTCCTTAAAGAAAACGACACCATCAAATTTACCAAGCTTGCAAAAACCTACAGGAAAATAGCAGAAGAGGGTCCTGATGCTTTCTACCAAGGAGAACTGGCTCAGAACCTTGTGACTGATATTCGGGCAGCAGGTAATATTTATCAGCTGCAACGGCATGGCTGGTATTGTTTGTGAGTCTGTGTGTGTGTCTGGTCATCGTAAAATGTAGTTGCAATGACACTTATTGTAGTGGGAACTACCACAGAAGCAGCTTTGAGTACTTTGCCTTACTTTGTTTGTCTGTGGGCACTTTTTGTCAACACAATAGTGTCACAGGGGTAGGAAGTAGAGAAGTAATCATTGCCCCTACAATCTACACCCCTGACCCAAATTTTGCAGATAAATGTATCCTAGTTTCAATCAATCATGGCTGTCTGGTCAAGGGTATATGGAATAAATCCATTGCGGTCTCACTCCCCATTCATCATATACCGATGCTTAGTCAGTGGCCCTCAGGGTCAGATACTGACGTACCGAGGCACCCTTTAGTGGCGATATGAGACACACTAGGTGTTTGCATTTTTTGCTGTAGTATAAAGAGAAAGAAAGTCTGCATAGGGAGGGCTAGAGGTGAGGTGTATTGATTAAGCAAACTTTCACCTGGAAAGCGCTGTTCGTTTCACATATGAAACTGATTGTTTAATGTGTAAAATAGTATGCTAGTCACATGTGTCACATGTTGCATTACCTTAGCTATCAAGTGACATATTTTAAGCCAAACCATGGTGTTTTTTTCTGAACCTAACCCCGTATTTTTGTTGCTTAAACCCATACCTTCATCACACCATGACCTCCAACATGCACTGGAGTGGTTTGCAGCCGAGTGTGAAGCGGTTGGGATGAGAGTCAGCACCTCTAAATCTGAGGCCATGGTTCTCTGCCGGAAAACGGTGGATTGCCCCTTCCGGGTTGGGAGAGAGTTACCACTCCAAGTGAGGGAGTTCAAGTATCTGTTCATGAGTGAGGGTAGAATGGAGCATGAGATGGATTAGAATTTTGGTGTGGTACCTGAAGTAGCTAATATGGGTGCTGCGCCAGACTGTCGTGATGAAGAGGGAGCTGAACCTGACTGGTCCATCTTCATCCCAACCCTCACCTATGGTCATGAGCTCTGTGTAGTGACTGAAAGAAGGAAGTCGCAGATACAAGAGTCAGAAGTGTGTTTCCTCTAAAGGGTGGTGTAAAGTAGGAGTAGAGCCGCTGCTCCTTCGCGTCGAAGGGGGTCAGGTGAGGTGATTGGGGCACCTGATCAGGATGCCTCCTGGGTGCCTTCTGTTGGAGGTGTTTCGGGCACGTCCCACTGGTAGGAGGCCCTGGGGCAGACCCACAAGACGCTGGAGAGATTATATATCTCGTCTGGCCTTGGAACGCCTCAGGATCCCCCAGCAGGAGCTGGAAGGCGTTGCTGGAGAGAGGGACGTCTGGAGCACATTGCTCAGCATGCTGCCTCTGCAATCCAGCTTTGGATAAGCAGTTGAATATGGGTGGATGGATGGAACCTAAACCTGAACTCTAGTTTTTACCTCTGCTCTTAATTTACTTTTAAATGAGACTGTAAACATTTAACAAGCATAAACTGTACATACGTATATTGACACGCTGTCCCTGAGTGTGTAAAACTGACACTGGATGGGGACTAGAGCATTATAGTTTGACCCATAGGGCCACTGACCAGGCGTTGGTATTTACATGCTGGGAGTGAGAATATGTTGATAAATCTGGCACCGTTCAGCTGTTTCACCAAACTCCTCATGTCATGTGCTCCACTGCATCATACACACTGATATTGCATTGTGGCTGATGTGGTTACATCACAGGACAGTCTCCAGTTTCATATTTGTTGTACTAAAAGCCCTTCAATGTCTGTATAACCAAATTGTCTGAAGTCACATCATAGTGCTTGTTGAAAATCTCCTTTTCTTTGTTAGACGAAATAGTCCACTACAAATAGTAGCAATAGCAAGATTCCACTTTTGTCATTAACAGTGAAAAGGGTACAAAATTTAGCAATCTTTTTAGTTTATTTTACAATCCAAACAGCTATTTCTGCAGCTTAGATCATGTTTCTGTAGCCACGAAGCACATTAATCTCTTACACAGGGACTTTATCATCATATCATTATTGCCACTTCTGTTATCATTTTAGTCATTTGCTAAATAGACTTCAGGACATATAATAAAAATACACAAACACCCACCTCTCTCTGCTAAGCTAATTTGTATGTTAAGGAGGATTTGTATTTCCAGTTCTGTCCAAGTGTGCATTCACAGTGTGTGTCAATCCGTGTTTAGGCGGTATCATCACAATGGAGGATCTGAAGGATTATGGGGCTGTCTTGGATGAGAACCCTTTAAGGGTAAACGTGGGGGAGTACACCATGGCTGTTCCCAATGCCCCCGCTAGCGGCCCTGTGCTCTCGCTGATATTAAACATCTTGAATGGTAAGCCTTGATGCTTTGTCCAAAAACATCCCGAGTGGGAGTGCTTCAATGTGAGCTGCATTCACTTTGCCAGTCACTCTCTGAGACTCCGCTGTGAGCAGCATGTTGATCTACTGTACAGCAAATCTACTCTTAAAATAAAAAAAGGTTTGTTGATTTCAAGTTATCTAAGAATATCCTGAACTACTTTCTGGCTCTGTGTTTTACAAAGTACTTACAAGCAGTACTTTTAAAATATCATATAGCATATAGCTGCATCCCTTCCCTTAGATACATATGACTTCTCCTAAAGAACCAAAGGCAGAAGATGTGTGACATTGCTATAGCACCACACAGCCCCCCGTGTAACAGTCAATGTTGCTGTTTTTAACCACGACCACAATACATCCACAACCCTAACCAAGTAGTTTTTAGGCTGTAGGAATAGCAACAGACCGAAATATCTTAACATTTAATTCATGGATTGCCACAAAATCTGGGACATAGTCTGCATTTATTTTTTTCCAGGTGATGTATCATAAAGGATGGGTTCATAATTCACAGTTTCCATCTCAAAATAGTCTGGTACCACTGGAAGAGGTTTTGCTTGCTGTAATCATTCCTCCCGTTGATGCTGGCCATTCAAAGATCCCATTCTGTCAGAGATTTTTACATTTAAAGTGCATTAGAAATCTTAAAATAAATTCAGTCAGAAACACTATAGTCAAAGAAAACTTTATTTCCATATGCAGTATTTGCCAGTATGGCTCTGTTCTGGGGCCCCTGCCTTTCCTCTGGCTTACACAGAAAGCATAAGGCAGAGAGAGCACACCTGTCTGCCCTTCCATGTGCAAATGCAGAAAACCTGAGGCAGAGAAAGCACATCTCTCTGCCCTTCCATGCACCTACATGGAAAAGCCTAAGGCAGGCAGAGCAGCAGCAAAGACCCTCCCAGGCACAGAACAGAGCCAGCATCACAGAACATTTTTGCACAGAACATGTGGTTGTAGTTTTTTTAATCTCTTACATTGAAGGTGCACTAGAAAAGGAATCTTTTCATGGTAAGTATGAACAGGAGGAATGATCACAACTTGCCAAACCTGCTTCAGTGTTCTTATGGGAACCTGTCTACTGTTTTATGATACACTAAATATGTGGTTTTGGGTGAAATGTATCAACAATAATTGCCATGAAATTTGGTACAGATGTTCATGCATAGCCCACATGGTTCTGCAAACCAGGGATAATTTACATTTGTACGTTTCATCATATCAGTGTTTCTAAAGTGTCATAGTTGTCATTACAAGCATAAGTTGACTTTGCTATTGAGAGGAGGTGGGCATAGCGGATCTCTTGACACCTCAGCAAGATGGCTCAAGCTGCAGACCATTGTTTGTGGCCAACAGCAAGACTAGTTGTTAGCAAGATATTGGCAGCATTGTGCCACCAAATCTAGGTAGTTTAAGCCAAAACATGAGGTTTTTCAAATCAAAAACAAGAGCACAAACATAACCACACATTACAGCGTTGTTGAAATATAAAGAAACTTAAAGTTCTGCTACATAATAATTTACAAATGCAACATATTCATGGTTTGCATTAATGTACAATGCCAACATTTTTCTGGCAGTTGGGTTGTCTGGCAGTTATGTGACTTTAATGCTGTGGTTTTATTAGCTACAAATGTAAGAAAAGAAGGAAGGAGAATTAGACATTTTTCAGATGAGTTAAATAAATGTAATGTAATTCTGTAATGTATGGTAAGTTATGAAGCTATGACTAGCAGCTGGCTGATATAGCTTAGCATAAAGAGTATAAACAAGGAAAAACAGCTAGCTTCTGTCCAAATGTAATCACATCACATTTAAAAAAAAACACCTAAGGCTCACTGATTACCATATTAATTAGGTGCTAAGGAAAAATCTAGCACATAACCAATGGTGAGACTGCTAAACATTGTTGTTTTGGTATGAGCTCTGTTGCAACACTGACAGATGGTACCTTAGAATGGCATAAAGCAATAAGCTACTGAAACAATATCAACATTTAACTTCCTCCGAATCAGAGAATGAAGTTAAATCCACTGAGGGAACGACTCTGTAACCCTGACAGAAGGTCTTTTGTCTGATTGAAGTTATGATGATCTGAACACAATTGCTGTCTGTGTCTTTACACCTGAGAGACTCACAGGAGTCTGATCAGCAAAGTTCATGAACATTTTGCCAATCACATTGTTGCTACCTTGGTCTGTCGCCATCTAATCACGCCTGTGTACTCTGTCTGATTTAACTTTCTCCTATGTTGGCTAGTCGTTGCAGAAACTGTCCATGTTTAAGACACTTCCTCTTCCTCTCTGCTACTTTTCAGTACAGTGACAGTGTCTGCCTCTGAGGATTAGACGAGAAACTTCCTTCTAAAGTAATTAATCTCTCTGAACCTTTCCTTTCCTCTGACTGGCCACCCACTCACTGCGGCCCCCTGCCTCACACGCTAACACTAATCTCACCAATTTACCTTTAATTGGACACAGTCGGGTGGTGGAGGCTTCGCGCACACATTTCAGTGACTGCCCAAAACTTTCATCCTGCTGATTTACCGTGACTCTTGCCTCTGTCTGACAGCTGAAACCCATCAAACCAAAAACTCTCTGGTTCCCTCAGCCGCCCCTTCTGTTTCCCCCTGTGGCTGTCAGCTCAGGCTAATACCCATGGTCTGGTCACGGCAGCTTTTAGACTAAATAAAAACACAGGAAAAGGCCGGGTCAAGTCCATTTTAGCTGTCTCCTTACCTACCTGAGCAGCCATCTGAATGAAGACAGATGAGTGAAGCTGTGGTTTAAACTCAGTTACTGATAATTGTTTCATTGTCTACAGGGTACAACTTCACCTCAGACAGTATGGCAAACACTGAGAAAAAGATCCTAACCTACCATCGCATCGTGGAGGCTTTCCGCTTTGCTTATGCAAAGAGGACTTTACTTGGAGATCCGAAGTTTCTCAACATCACGGATGTAAGGTCATTGTGTCTACTTCACACAGTTTTAGTTTTTGGGGCTCCACACTATTTTAGTGCCACTTATCCTGAGGCAGCAGCAGCTTCTCATGTACACAGGGAAAAAATGCCTTGTACTTGTTAGCACTCATTATAACAATTTTAAAAGAGAGTAGCCGTGTGCTACCACAGGGGGGCACCAAAATCAGACATTCTCAAATTTTACACACAGTAGTGTTAAAAAATGTTTTTAACGAACACATTCTCACTCCCAACTCACCAATACCAACACCTGCTCAGTGGCACTACACCTCAAACTACAACACTAGCCCACTAGCTCACCTGCCCCATGTACAAAGGCTGTATCCTTGCTGCAGCGGCAGGGGGCTCAAATTCAAGCCAAGGCAAAAAAGGCCCCCAAATATCCTAAAAAACCTATAATGCCCCAGGTACACCTCCAACACCAGTTTTGGATGCTAAGAGACACCATGTAAATTTACACTAGTTACAAGCAATCTGTCTTTTCAAAATAAACTCCCATTTTCACAGGAAATGTACAGTTTCCACTCATTAAATGCATACAGTCTCTTTTTAACACAAACTTAAAACGTATTAAAAAAATATTGCTTTTAGGTGTACTTCCTTAAGGTTAGGCAACAATAGCGCGTAGTTTGGTTTAGAAAAAAACATCATGGTTTAGCTTAAAATAAGTTGGTTTGTTACTGATGTGATGTAACATGACGTGACATACTTCACATTCATCACATGACATATGTCACTAGCATAATATGCGACACCTAGGCGACAGTACTAGCACGCAACGTTGTAATTGAAATAACTCAATTGACTCAATTGAAGTGTCACACAGGAAATTAATCAGCGTTCTCTGAGCTGAAAATTCTAGAGTTAGTTAAAACATTTCCTGTTGAGCCCGCTCTCATTCCGAAGATGTCGAAATCTGGCCCATGGGCAGTGACTTGCAGCGTCAGAAATAAATGAAAAAAGCTATCCTTTAACATCAGCATGATATGTGGTCAGTTGCCGTAAAGGTTTATCAGTGCCCAGCGGCGTCAGGGGATACGCTGTGGGACAAGGACAAAAGTTAAGACGGCAAAAGCCTGAGTCGGGCAGGAGGGAGCGGTGGTGAATAGGTCCAACAAACATTGACTTTCACCCGAGAGAGTGGTGTTCACATCCCATAAGATTCTAAAGCCAAATCCTGTTTTTTTTTCCTAAACCTAACCATGTGTGTTTGTTGCTGAAGGAAAAACCATGTCAATTTGTGGTGTTGTACTGACGTAGTGCGTTCATTTCCGGTGAAAATGGCAGTGTATCTTGAAAGAGGACAATGCATGTAACAGGCAGTACTTGAAACTGTGTGCCTAAAAACAACCAAAACATAAAAACAGTTTATTCATGCTTTTGTTGTAACAAGCAAAAATTGTAATGCCATAGGAAATCCATACGATTTAAATGCAGTATCAACACTTTCCAACTTGGCAGATTTGTTACCATGTTTCCTCTTTATGATGTTAAAAGAATAATAACAAACATATTGTAGATGGTGTTAGGTTTCTCCTAAAATATCCTGTTAAAAATTTGTAGTATATAATTTGTAGGAGACAAATGGTTTGTGTTGGTTGGTGCATTGTGATAAGAATAATGTTTTTTTTGATTGACTTTGAAGAGTAAATATCTGAATAATCACATATTCAGCATAATTCGACAAGCCTCTCAACTTCGGGGAAACCATTAAGTCTCTGCTACGTTATCTCATAGACATGAGTGACTTGAGACATAATTAAAAGCATGCAAGACTTTGCCTGTCTTAGATTAGTAAGAACAGTGGCAAAATTCCCCAGAACATGAAGAAATACTTTATTTAAAAAAAAAAAATCAAAAACACCAAACAATACTTCCCATAATATTTACTGATTGATTTCACATCCTACTTTCTCTTCCAAAGCTCATCCAAAACATGACTTCAAGTTACTATGCCGATGACCTCCGGGAAAAGATCACAGATGACACCACTCATCACATGAACTACTACGAGCCAGAGTTTTACATGCCTGAAAACCACGGGACCTCACACCTCTCTGTGGTGGCAGAAGATGGAAGTGCTGTGGCCGCCACCAGCACCATCAACCAGTTGTATGACCCTACAAATCACCTTTACCAATGTCGGTTAATAAGTCTTGCGCCTGTAACTCCTCTGACATCTCAACTGTGATTGTCTTCCTGCAGTTTGGGCTCCAAAGTGATGTCAGGATCAACAGGGATACTTCTCAACAATGAGATGGATGACTTCAGCTCGCCGCTCATCACTAACGGCTTCGGAGTCCCTCCTTCACCCAACAACTTCATCAGGCCTGGTTAGATTAAAACACACACACACACACACACACACACACACACAAGCTCATACAAACACAAACACACAAGGGTCCTCAAGTGAAATAGTATTATAGATTGACTGTAAAACGTAAGGCTGATTAAAGGTCACGCAGAGGTCAGCCTGTCCTTTTTGACATTGCATGTTATGTTTTTGGCTTCTGAATAATGTTTTTTTTGGTAGATTTAATGTTGATTTTTTTAGTGATCAAGAGGAAAAAAGATAATTTAATGTCAATAACAGGTCTTTACAAAGTGATTAATTACAGATATAAAGTACACAATAATTATGTAGATAGATCTCTGTGTATCCACACAAAAAGCCATGATAGGGTCTGTGTCCACATAGCATTTTCTTTTTTTTTCTTTTTCAACAGAAAAGCGTTGGCATGGTGCTGCTTCATCTCAGTGCTTTGTAAAAAGTATTTTTTTAATGACATGTTCCCATGAGTATGTTTCTATGACATCTTGACACTGACTTTAGCTAAGTAGCTAACTTAATGCTACACTAACAGATGGTCGACTACCCAGTCAACAACAAGATTACAAAGTCAACAGTGTTAAAACAACAACACTCACCAGCAACATTCAGCTTCTGGTAGCTGATCTGCACCTGAAAACAAGCGTTTCTGTCTTTGCTGTGACGGTAGAAAGGAGTATAGCTAAAGAAGCAACAGTAACGTCATCCGCACTTTTCTGAAAAGTTCAGAGACTTTCACCTGGAAGCGAGAGAATGGTTCAAAACAGACGCTGGGCATGGTGCTTTTCTTCTATGTGGCTGCATGCATTCTCTCCTCATTGGGAACAATTGAAAAGTGATGGAAAACAAAAGCTATGTGGACACACCCTTAAATCTACTTTGATTCAATGTTATCTCTTCCCTACTCGTCATGTTTTGCTGCTTGGGCAGAAGCCACGGTTGTTACTGAAATGACACTGGAGGCAGCTTTTGTGCTGTATCTTGACACAAGTGGTTTGTAAGAAAGGGCCAGTGGTTAGGTTTAGACACAAAACTACTGGATTTTGGTTAAGAAAAGATTGCACATGGCTTTGAGTGGCACAAACACTGCAGCTGATGTTGCTGTTTGTTGGTGGTGAACATGAGTCTCTTAGACCAGACTCTGCTAGTTCAATCAGGAGAGACAGAAGACTGAAGTAAAGATAATATTTAATACAGACTATGAGTGTACAGATTAACAGATGATTTGTGCTGATTAAGATTTAACAGAAGTCTTTGGCACTTGGACACCAGAGGGAGATATTTTGTGGAGGTGGTGGTGGTGGCTGATGACTCTGAGACTGATGGCTAATGAGGCGTAAGAGGCTGATGAATCCATAAAGACTAGGTGGTGATGGGGAGGTTGAGAGCGTGCACGATGGCAGCAAGAAAGAACTACAGCAGAGAAAGAATCATGTTTAAAATGAGAAGCAGTAAGACGATTGGCTGATAGAGGAGGTGTGTCGCTGTGCTATTGGTTGAATCAGCTGATGACTCAACTGACCTACCCAGACAATGAAACCTAAAGATAGTGAGTGAGCATACATGCAAGGAGTGAATGGCAGGATGAGGCAGATACTTACAGCCCGAGCATTGTCTTCCAGTCTGAACTCTTGCTAGAGCTTTATTTGTTGGACCCACCCACCTTAAGCGGACTGTCACGCTACTTAAAATACATCTGTTGCTCTGAATTTTTATAATGCCATGGGTGGGTTTATGTTGGAGTTGGTAGAAACCCTGGTGTGTCTCACAAAGATCCTTAATGGTGACAAGACTGGTACACAGAGATACTGGACTCAAGGTCACGACTCATGAGACAGTTCAGTTGGATAATCAAAAGTCTTTACTTCACAAAAAGGGTTTGGTACACAGGTAGGTAGTCAAACAGGTGAACAATCTAAAAGAGACTACGGGCAAAAGACAAGTTCAAAACAGGAACACTAACACTAGGAAAAATGCTGGAATGGTACAAAGACAAACTGGCACAGGGAACAGGGAGCACACAGGTGGGGATATTTGGGCACAGGTAAACACATCAGGGTGGGGCAGACAATCACAGAAGCAGGGAACACATGAGGGCAGGAAGTGGGGATCTGAAATGAGAGGAGAGGTTAGTAACAAAATAAAACAGGACATAAATCTGAAGAAGGAGAACAATAAAAAACATGACCTAGGGAGCTTGACAAGACATGACGAACAGTAGACACCAGGGACAATGCTCAAGTGGCGTATTTTTACGCCCTGGTAATGAGACCAGGCTTTGATTCAATGTTGTGAGGCAATAAAAAAAAAAGATTACTGGAAAAGACATACACTTGTTTCATTTGAGTTTGTGAATCACAACCATTAAATTCTGTTCAAAGGAAAAAGGCCAATGTCGTCTATGTGTCCAGCCATCCTCTTTGACAAAAACAAAAGGGTTAAGATGGTGGTCGGAGCGTCAGGAGGAACGAAAATTACAACAGCTGTTGCTCAGGTGAGATACAAGCTGCGGTCAGAATTTGTTACTGCAGTTGTAACCATTTAAAGTAGCATATAAATAAAGTGTCTTATCATAAGCAGATAATTACTCCTTGGCTGTGACGTTATCCTGTTTGCTGTTTTGTAGGTCATTCTGAACGCACTGTTCTTCGACTACAATCTTGATAAAGCCGTGTCAGATCCAAGACTCCACAACCAGCTGAGTCCAAACGTAACTGTGGCAGAGCCAGACTTTGACAAAGTGAGTGTCACAAACAGTGAACACTACTGATATATATGACTAATGGCAGGGTGATGGTGTGTAGGAAGATAATCCTTCAACCAAAAGCCCAGCTAATACTCAGCCCCTATACCCCAGACCGGCACCTGGGACACTGTTCATTATGTTTACCTGCAGGGATGTGTTGTTCTCACAAGAAGAAAGATATGCCAGCACGGGTTGGTAATAGTCTAATCTGTGGTTGTACATAAATAGAATAATAGAAACTGGAGAACTAACCCTCACTTTGACCATTTTACTGGGATGTAAAATCCTTTGTTGCTGATGTTACCATTCAACTGGCAGGATTTTGGCATCCCATCGATTGTGTGTCAGACAGCACATCATGGTACAGTGTGTTCTTTGATTTCTTGCTTATTGAGAGACGTGTTTTCAAAGACTAAAAATGGGTGCCAGTCCTCTTCATCAAAATAGTCTTACACACCAACAGGCAGACACAGCATGGTTGATCCCTGCTGTGTGACATGAACAACATGCCAAACCTATTCAGTCTTCCTCACTCTGTGTGTCTTCATATACAGTCAGGTCCATAATTATTTGGACAATGATACAGTTGTCATCATTTTGGCTCTGTACACCACCACAATGGGTTTTAAATGAAACAATGAATACCTGCTTAAAGTGCAGACTCTCAGCTTTCATTTAAGGCTTTTTTCAAAAATGTAGTATGAACCGTGTAGGAATGACAACCATTTCTTCACACAGTCCCCCGACTTTAAGGGCTCATAAGTATTTGGACAAACTAACATAATCATCAATTAAACAGTCAGTTTTAATACTTGGTTGCAAATCCTTTACAGTCAATGACTGCCTGAAGTGTTGGACACATAGGCATCATCAGATGCTGGGTTTCTTCCCTGGTGATGCTCTGCCAGCCCTTTACTGTAGCCGTCTGCACTTCCTGCTTGTGTTTTGGGTGTTTTGCCCTCAGTTTTGGCTTCAGCAAGAGAAACGCATGCTCAGTTGGATTCAGGTCAGATGATATGACTTGGCCATTGCAGAACATTCCACTTCTTTGCCTTAAAAATGTCTTTGGTTGCTTTTGCAGTATGCTTCAGGTCATTGTCCATCTGCACTGTGAAGCATCGTCCAATGAGTTTTGAAGCATTTGGTTGAATCTGAGCAGATAATGTAGCCCCAAACACTTCAGAATTCATCCTGATGCTCTTCTCAGCAGTCACATCATCAATAAACACAAGAGAACCAGTTCCACTGGCAGCCATACATGGCCATGACATAACAGTACCTCCACCATGCTTCACTGATGAGGTGGTGTGCGTTGGATCATGAGCAGTTCCTTCCCTTCTTCCTTCTCTTGTCTTCCCATCATTCTGGTAGTTGATCTTTGTTTTATCTGTCCATAGTATGCTGTTCCACAACTGTACAGGCTTTTTAGATGGTTTTTGACAAACTCTAATCTGGCCTTCCATTTTTAAGGCTAACCAATGGTTTGCATCTTGTGATAAACCCCTTTATTCTAGTGAAGTCTTGTCTTGCTTACAAGAGCAGCAGGATGAAAGCTGAAGTGTTTGGGGCTACATTATCTGCTCAGATTCAATTAAATGCTTCAAAACTCATTGGACGATGCTTCACAGTGCAGTTGGATAATGACCTGAAGCATATTGCAAAAGCAACCAAAGTCATTTTTAAGGCAAAGAAGTGAAATGTTCTGCAATGGCCAAGTCATATCATCTGACCTGAATCCAATTGAGCATGCGTTTCTCTTGCTGAAGCCAAAACTGAGGGCAAAACACCCAAAACACAAGCAGGAAGTGCAGACGGCTGCAGTAAAGGGCTGGCAGAGCATCACCAGGGAAGAAACCCAGCATCTGGTGATGCCTATGTGTCCAACACTTCAGGCAGTCATTGACTGTAAAGGATTTGCAACCAAGTATTAAAACTGACTGTTTAATTGATGATTATGTTAGTTTGTCCAAATACTTATGAGCCCTTAAAGTCGGGGGGACTGTGTGAAGAAATGGTTGTCATTCCTACACGTTTCATGCTACATTTTTGAAAAAAGCCTTAAATGAAAGCTGAGAGTCTGCACTTTAAGCAGGTATTCATTGTTTCATTTAAAACCCATTGTGGTGGTGTACAGAGCCAAAATGACAACAACTGTATCATTGTCCAAATAATTATGGACCTGACTGTATGCTTCTGTTTGCAGAGCATCCTGGATGGTTTGGCATCAAAGAACCACGAGACAGAGTACCTCACATCAACAGGTGCTGTGGTGCAGGCGGTGGTTCGCTATGATGACAGACTCAACGCTAAGTCAGATCCTCGCAAGTGGGCGTACGCCGCAGGGTACTGATGTCATATACACACCTCTGATTATGGAGAGACTGTAGCTGCATGAACCTTGACACCAGCGGTATGAGCTGAGAGATTAGAGACTTGATAAAGAACAAGGGACCATCGTCGGCACCAGTTAAGTTACAATAAAGTTCATGTGCTTCGTAGCGTGCAACTCAGATAACAGAACATTGACATATGGATTGTTATGACTTTGAAAACAAAGTGCCTCAGTGTGATGTGAATTTTGCACTCTGTTGTCTCATGTCCAATGTGTTTATGTCACATCATCATATCAGGTAATTAAGAAAGGCATAGGATGTTATTTAAATGGATAGTTTTACAATCATCAGTTCACACACTCAGTCAAACATGTACATGTCCCCTATTTATGAAACACTTTTGTAAATCATTAACAGTGTAAAGCTGTTTCCTGCTTTTGTTCATTAGAGATATGGTATGTGACGTCAACACTAATTATTAACAACTGAACTCTTAATTAATGAAATATCCACAGAACAAATCAACCAAAACTAACCTCAAATACATATATAGTCATTTAAAGGGACAGGTTACACCAACATCAGAAATACATATTCTTCCTTTTGTTTTGGTGTTGGAAAACAAAAAAAAAAAAAAAAAAAAAAGTTACATAGAGAAATCATGACCCAATTACTCAAGATAATCCAAAGACCTTGTGTGTGCAGTTTCGTGAAGGAACTATTGTTTTCTACCAAACTACACCCACCAATCGTATTACCACACAAAAGGAAGCATACATCTACTGCTAGCTCACCTAGCAAAACTGAGCTGGGATGCCACTGATGTTTACATCTCTTGCGGTCACGAGCTTGAGTCTCTCGTCCATGAGTAGATGCACTCTTCCTTCTGCGCGGTGATATGGCTGACAGGCATGGTTGGTAGAAAGAAAATAGTTCCCCCACAAAACTGCTCACACAATTCTGTGGATTATCTTGAGTAACCAGGTCATGATTTCTGCAAGGACACATTGCTGTTGAGTTTTCCATATGTATTTTTTGGCACTTTGAGCACCACGAGCCGAGTGCCATCTAGTTCTATTATGTAGGAGAGAAGGCAGACATCTTTATGGCCAATATCTCCAACACACTGCAGCTCACATCAGAACAATCTAGGCCGATAAACAACACTACAGGTAAGATTAAACATATGTATTTTGGATTTTGGAGTGAACTGTACCTTTAAAACTTTAACATATTTCACAAGGGCTGTCCATGTGAGGTGACTGCAAACAGAGGGAGAGTAGGCAAAAGGTTCTGTTAAAATAAAGGACTGTAACACTCTGGGGACAAACAGTCCCTCTTAATGACTTACAGTAATTTCCCACAACCCAGAGTGCAATGGCCTGCAATGACCCCATAACAACATTACAGCTGTTCCTGCTCACTGTCACCGCTGGGATTCAGGGCTTCTGTTCTCTCAGCTGGAATGTAAATGTGTTATATAATTAGTGATATGTATGAAAGTAAATTTATACTGCCTTTATCAGTGCTTTGCTATTAATGACTGTTTTTATCACATAAGAACCAGTTATAGTAGCCTACAAAGTGGTTTAACATCCACAACACATGTATTTATTTAAAAACAAATGAATGGATAATTTATTTGAAAATGAAAATATATCATTAATGTGTTTTATTGCTTTTTTTTAGATTGATAAAGTAGATATTGTTGATGTTTTCTATTTTTCTTTCCCCATGAACACTTGAAATGAACATACTCTAATTATTAAAAACACACTTGCTGAATAAAAGTCTTTTGGTTTTTTAATATCAACAATAATTTTACAGACTAGCTGGCAGAAGCTTCTTACTTACTGTGTCTACCAGCGTAACTGACGTTTGATTGACAGATGTGGGGAATGTAAGCTAATGGTTAACAAGAGCATAAGAGTTTACAGCCATGTTATCACTCTGTGAGTACTGTAGGTACTGTAGGTGTTGATCTTTGCTTTGAGATAAATGTTAATGTCAGCAGGCTACCATGCTGACAAAGACAATGTTAAGCAGAAGCTAAGCAGGTATAATGATTTTGCTTGTTTGTTTGATTAGTGTTTTAGCATGCTATGCCAGATTAGCACCAAACAGAAAGAATTTCACTTGATGGTGATGCTAAAAGAAAGTCAAGGGATCACTGCAGTCAGTAAGATTTGTCCTCTTAGGAGTGTGAATCGTAGTACAAAATTTCACAGCAATCCATTTCATATTTGCTGAGATATTTTAGTCTGGACCAAATTGGTGAAGCAGTCGACAGAGGCCAATTTGTTACCGTTTAAGCCGTGCTAGTTACCACTAGCACGGCTTAAATGTCATGGAAAACAAAAGTTTAAAATTTAAGTGAAAAGTTTGGGCAAAGCACTGACGTCAAACATTAAATAACTTTCATCAGCTGTTTCATTCATGCCTCATAATCACTGGCTCACCAGCTGTGTGGCTATCAGTCAATATGTAACATCCAATCATATTCAGGTGTAGAGCATAGCCATTAACTTCACACTTATCACGTTTATTTTGCTGACATGCTGCAGCAGCTCCTCCACCAACCCCACCTCTTTCTGTTGGGCTACATTTCTGGTAAAGTTATTTAATATAAAGGCCGAGATGCAGCCTAAATCTATCTGCTGTAAAAGGTAAATCCCTTGATGCAGGTCTCTATGGCTGAGCTTTAAAAATGTTTTTAATATGACTTTAAATTGTATCTAGATTCGCACATTATGTTTGCTGATGTCATTTCCAGTGATAGAGGCCAATCTAAAATTTGTAGCTTTGTAATACCCGTTATCTAGACGGCTGATGTTAGGGTTAGTCAAGCCAGATAATGAAAAGATATCCTGGGTAAGTTGACTTCGCAGTACAGGCCTCTAGTGCGGTTACAGTTATTTTCAAGGAGATGATGAATGCAGAAATGAACGACTCACACTAGAATTTTCCTTGAAGGCCCAATTAAGGCACAAACTCACTTCCACATAGTTAGAATGAACTTCAGAGTTATGCAACTCAGACAATTTACTCACCCCTTAGGCATTAAAGAAATCTGTATATCAACGTATACGTGGCTTTAATGTGACCAACTGCTTTGCATAGCATTATGACAGTTAAAAAATAATGACAAACACAAACCAACTGAATCTGTAATAAAATCAAATAACTAATTGTTGAGATAATTTGCTTCATCAGGGGACTTTGTGGCTAAAAGTGCGCTAACAGTTGAAGTCACAGAGTCATCGCTAGATTATTTCACTGCTTCTGCTTTGAGTGAAAGACATTTTCTTCATGGTGTAAAATTATGCTTTAAATTGCTGTTATTCGCACAGAGAGGGTCATATCAAGAAGCTATAAAGTCACAACTTATTCAGATTAACTCATTTGTCATACAACAAAGACAGCAGTGCTTCACACAGACTCAAATTTGCATGTTCTCATAACTCACAGCTAGTGCCTCAAAGGAAAACGGAGCAGAATCCACTTAAGAAATCATTACTAATTCATAAGTCTCTCCACTGAAATGTATCTCATTACTGCTTCCTTTGTCTCAGAGCAAAAGTGCTGCTCTGAAACAAGGCAAACAGGAAAACATGAGGCAGATTATTGCTGATCGTACTGTACTAACACCAAAGGATAAATGTTTAAAGATCTGTAGTTTACAGTGAAAAGCATATTGAAGGATTTTGGGTTGAACAAAGAATGAGCTCAAGCAATCTTTTTATGTGTTTGAAAAGTATGTCTGCTGGAGATCAGAGACTCATCAAGCTTTGTTTGGACTCTTATTTTTTATTGTGAAAACACAGATATTCACAGTTAATACTTGTAAAAATGTGTAGTTATTTTACAAAACATTTTGACACATTAAAACACAGAAAATACAAAATGACATGTTGGTGGTGTAAAAATACACTTACTATTTTTTAGAAAATTGTGTTCATTGTGAATCAACTTTTTTTTTCTTTCTACAGTATTTCTTGATCTTCAAACAAAGATCACAACATCCTCAGGGCCTTGAACAGGGTTGTTTCACATACAGCATAATCTTTAAGGTCACAGTAAATGTTCCCTGTTTGGGCCTTTAACTCACATGTCCATCAGGATTTCACTTCAAAAGGGTTACATGGCTCATCTGTAATAAACAGTTTTTATGCAGATTGTCAGTCAGATAATAAAACACTCGGTGATATTAACAAACCTAGCATGACGCAGCGGTTGGTTTTGTTTTGTCGGACTGCAGCAGATTTTCTTTTATGGCTTGCTGCTGCAACCGTACACTTTGGTCAGGAGTGTGTAATCCTACAACACAGGGTGTGTCAGCATGTGTGTGAGGACTGGCTGTATTAAAAAAGGCTTTATATATGAAGCAGTCTGATCAGCTCAAAGGGTGAGTCCAGTTTATTATCACAACTTGGGTCTTATTTTTGTAGTAGCAGTCACCAAGTTTATTACTAAGATCTGGGAATATCACAACATCACTAAAAAGAACACTGACAGGGTAAGAAACCCAAGTAGTCAGTCAATAAAACAGTTTCCATGGTTACTCGAATGTCTTTGTCAAACCTTGGGGGTGAATGCTACCCAAATTTTCTTCATAGTCTATTTATTGGCTTTTCCAGAGATCTCAATTGTCATGACAACAGAGCAGACTCCATTTGGTGATGAAGACTGTGAGATGCAGTTGAAAATTTCAGAAAAACCTAATATGTGGACAGTGAGTTAAGATCATTTTGTTGAACTGCTGTTTAAAATATCAAGAAAGAACTTTTAGGATCATTTCCTGAACTGTGCATTTGGGGGGAAGAAGTCGGTCTCTGATGCTGCATTCCCACTGCATGGAATGGTACAGCATGGCTCTGCTCAACTTGACTTGGTCTGTTTTGGTTTTCCATTGGCAAAAGTTGTGGATAGTACCTGGTCAACGTATCCTCATAGAACAGTTCGTATGACATCCTTCGAATTAGCGCTCCAAAATTAAGTTTTGTCCTTAACATAAAGTTACAGAGGTTTGGTCTGGGGAGGTAAAGTTATTACCTTAAATTACCTTAAAATGACTCAAAGTTCATTCTGAGTTTACATGGGTCCAAAGACACATCTCCTAGGAAAAGTCCTGTGTTTTGTAACCAATCCACCACCCCAACCTGCCTCCTTAGTAGACATTGTTGCTAATGAAACAATTCTGCAAGTATTGCATTGATGATGATGTCACGACAGTTTCATCAATGTTCCTATGCTGATCAGATGAGAGTCCTGCCTGCACTGAGGGGTACTATCTGCAGTGAAAAACGAGAAGGAGAATAGCGCCTGGTACCAAAAGTGGGTTGAGTCAAGACAAGCCGAGTTGAGCTGAACCATGCAGTGGAAATTAAGCATAACAGTCTCTGACAGTTGAGAGCGACTTCTTGGTTCAACGATGATCCAAAGCACTTGCTGTGGTTGTGCATGCACACAGTTTTTTCTGTGCAAAGAGGAATTACTATCAACCTTTCTGGTGCAAAAGTGAAAATAGTAGACATTAAAAAAAGAAAAAAGTCAAAATACCACAAAGAATTTGCAAAATTTGTGCAACTTTGGACGACAAGAGGTTTAGATAATCTGATCATCTGACCACTTGTGTTTCTCACTCCATCTGACCTCTTTAGAGCCATGTTGCACATTTCAAAAATCTGTGCAATTACAATGGTGAGTTCAATGCTGTCTGACCGATGTGTACAAAAAGAAGACCAAGGTTATAATAAACTGGAATTATCCCATAAAGGTCCAGTGTGCACGATTTAGTGGCATTTAGCTGTGAGGTTGCAGAACTTCAACTTCTCCTATGTGCCAAGCATGTAGGTAAACTACAGTGGGTGTGGCAAAAACGTAAAATTGCGTATAGCCCTATCTAGAGCCAGTGCTTGGTTTGTCCGTTATGGGCTACTGTAGCACAATATGGTAGACTCTGTGGAAGAGGACCCGCTCCATATGTAGATTTAAACAGATCATTCTAAGGTAACAAACTCACAACAGTTCTTATTTTCATTATCAACTAATGGAAACATTATGAATAACACCTATCATTCTTGCAAATAGATGCCCCCCACACTGGACCTTTGAGTCAAGCAGTTTGTTGATTGATTGTGTTTCTCATCTGAAAAGAGCCCAAGCACCTCACATTTTGTTGCTGGTGTATTCACTGTTCTTAAGGCTGAAGGTTCAGTCAGTCATTTGGGCAGATTTTATTGGGAAGGTGGTGTTTCCTTCTGGTCTGTGAGGTCAGTATCCAGCTGACACTCCATTCTTCCTTCTGTCCGATACAGCCACAATGCATCCATTCTCCTTTTCCACAGCGTTGACTACATTGAAGAAGTATTTCCATTCCACAAGTTTGTGTCCAAGAGCTTTGAGGCCATCTTTCACTGACTGAAGGCACAAAACACACACACACACACACACACACACACACACACACACACACACACACACACAAATTAATACCACTTATCCTTCCCACTTCAGATTTCAAAACTGATTACAGGTAAACTGAAGCGGACATTGTAGGATTACGTCCTGGTAATTTCCATCAGAACCCATTAAAATTAATAGAAATGTTATTCATTAGATAGGCGGTCACAGTCTAGTGAATTCAAATGTTATTAATGGACACTGAGGATGAGAACATGAGTGTCTCACCTTGTCAAAATGATCCTCAAATTTCACATTGTTGTTGGAGTCAACAAACACTATAGGTGCAGCAATGGCTTCTGTCAGATTCATCCCAAGCCACAGGCGATTAATTATAGACTGCAAGAAGGAAATAGAATCATGTAAGCAAACAAATGAGGACGCAGATTAACAAGTATGCAAACAGAGTTCAATCGAGCTACCAAGGCCACTGCTGAGGTGATCATGCTTCCTCCCGATCCACCAATCACAAGTAGTCCTCCAGACTTTGACTCCAATATTACTGGGGTCATTGAGGACGGAGGCCGTTCACCTGTGACACCGATTACACTCCATATCAGACAGAAAAGAGACTTCAATGGCTACATTAAGTAATGTCTTTAATTTTATTGTCTGAGGTTAAAAGTCCATGTTTGTGTCTGCGACTCTACCTGGCCTCACTGTGTCTGCTCTGTCACAGAAGTCAGACAGCTCATTGTTGAGGATGATGCCTGTTTTGGGAGAGTAAATGCCTCCTCCAAATCTATAAAACAAAACAAAGAGGACTGAGCTGGTAAGTATTACATCACAGTAGATTTGATGTCATTCAAAGTAGATGCAGAACTCTTTCACTTCAAGAGGCTTCCTGCTCACAAATGGTTTATGGTGCTGGTGGCAGAGACAGCCAGTCCATCTTCATCCAGGACAGACACGTGTGTCGTCCCAACGTGATCAGGGGGGGGCTTGGTATTGCTGTAGTAGGAGTTGTCATGGGTGCGGTTCAAAAAAATCATGCCCCTGATGTGATCAGTGAAGACAGGATCAATCAAATGATCTGCACTCTGAAAGAGAAAAAATCATGATGAGGAACAGGATATAACAGACGCTTTTACAGCCAAATATAAGCACACATGTTGGCAATAAAAGTGTCAATATGGTCTAGCCATATAAAACTATTGCCAGCATTAAAATGTCTGGTTGTTTGATGTTTAGATGTCAGACTCAATAATCCATCACCGGACTCAAATTCTACACAATTCCAACAGGATCATGTCTGTTTGCGAGCAACATGTTTCAGTGTAATGAGTGTGTTAAGTGGAGACTCAGCTGAATGTGTCATGGTTGCTCATAGTGATGGCAGCTGTTGAAAACATGAACAGAGCATGTAGGTGTCCTCGTAAAAGCCTTCAATTTTACCTTCATTTTAAGGTAATTAATTTTTTATTTGTTTATTATCTTCGCCAACCATTTAAGTATTTTACGACAAGCAACCATGGATGCATTTGGCCGAAAGTCACCAGTTAACATGGTCTGGCTATGGCTGCAAGCTATTAAACATGTTGACTGCCACTGAACTGAGGACATGATCAAAACTACGTGTTACAGTAAAACTGAAGCAAAATTCATGTTTGCACAACAGCTATATCATTGAGCTCTGAACTATGCTAGCTAGAAAGCGAACAATAGAAAACAATACAACCCTATACGATACCCAATTGGGACGTAACATCACTTTTCTGGTTTGTTTATAATCCAAGCTTCAAACATAGTGGACTTGTTTCCTTGTCTTTGGCGCAGGAGGGTTTCAAGAAAACCCTGAGTCTATGTCATGGTATTAAACGTTCTACACATGGCCACAGATGATGTAGTTGTGAGCATCTAGCGACTTGTATGCCTTTAATTTGTCATTGGTGTACATGCTAACATTAGGTTTCTCCACCAATTACTCCTGAATACTGGGCCACTTGCTGTCTTCTCCCTTCTCACTAACAGCACATACACCGATCACCCAAAACATTACAACCACTGGTGGGTGAAGTGAATAACATTGATCATCTTGTTACAGTGCAATATTCCATTGGGAAACCTTGGGTCCTGGCATTCATGTAAATGCTACCTGATGCACTCCACCCACCTGAACACCATTGCAGACCAAGTAAACCCCCTTATGGCAATGGCCATGACCTGGCCTCCAAATACCTCAGATCCCAATCTGATCCAACATTTGAGGGATGTGCTGGTACCCCCGATCCACGGTGGGTCGTCCTTGGAACGGACTTGGCTTTGACCTGTCAAGGCATGAACACAGGACCTCTGGGGGTGTCCTATAGTGTCTGGCACCAACACGTTGGCTTCAGATCTTTTGGGTCCTGTGGGTTGTGAGGTGGAGTAACAGCACGTCCCACAGATGTTTGATCAGACTGGGATTTGAGGACTTTGGAGGCCAGGTCAATGCCATGAATGTCAGAATCCAAATTTTCCCAACAGAACAGTACATTGTAACAAGACGACCAATGTTGTTAATGTCACCTGTCAGTGGTTTTAATGTTTTAGCTGATTGGTGTATGATGTGGAAGTTGGTCATTATTTGGCAAAGTCAAGTTGATTAGATAGCAATCACAATCTTGGTGGTTAATGCCCTTGTGTAATGCCACATAAACCAAAACAATGAGCTGCAAGTTGCTAAAACGCTGCATAGAGCTGGAGGAACTGCAGGATCGAGTGATAATTCTCTGCAAGTGAACATCTCATCGCTAATTAAGTTAATATGATTAGTGCAGCTTTAACAGTTGTTAGAAAGTGATTTTTGGCACTTTTAACTTGTTTTTCTTTAAAATCTTTTGTCCTAAGAATAATGGAAAAAACAATAACTATCTCAGACTCCAACCTCTGTGTTATTAAATACAGGATCACGAACACTTCGCTTTTGTCCATTAGCGAATTTAACTGCCTCTATGTAACGATGGTACAGCTGAATCTTCTGGTCACCATCCAGAGAGTTTGGACTCAAGGGGAACCCTGTGGAAAAAGGAGAACAACAATTAACTTTAAAACTATTTTCTCTGCTATCTTTTCATAAGAGTACAAGTCAAAGATTTTAGAATTGAATGAAATTGCTACGACAGGTCAGTTTAAGGAATCACAGGAGTTATCACACGGTACATGAAACCTTTCATCAATCCGAGAATGAAGGCGAGCAAGGGGCCCCCTGATGGTGGTTGAGGGATGTGCATCTGAGCGCTTCCCACTCGGACTGTCAATGCATTCTCCAGCCGTACCTGGAAGGACTTCAGGTCCTCCATTGTTAGAGTCCCGTCTAAGAAAAACATGAGAGATTTACAAACAACTTGTTCATCTTAAATTCTCTTTACTTTTCTACTTTTTTTTTCTTAACATCACAAACAAGTGCATTCTTTTTTCTGTCTGTTCAAGTATACACCTGCAGCTTGCCAAACTAGTGCTTAAATGACACCAACCTGCAGCTTGTATGTCTTGGATTAAGTCATGTCCTATCTTGCCAGTGTAGAAGGCATCTGCCCCTTGCTTTGCAATTGTTTCCATGGTTTCTGCAAGTTTAGGAAACTTCATGGTGTCTCCTGTGCGCAGGATGGTTTTGTTCTTGTGGCAGAAAACTTCACTGGAGACAAGCATCCATGTAACAGAACATATGAGAACATGTTATACAATAATATCATGCTTCCTGTTTTATTTTGTAGATTCTCTCCTCATGTGTCGTGTCTGGTTTTACTTCCTGTCTTTGTGCGTTTTAATGCATATTTTCTGTCACACCAGTCTCATTAGTCCTTCCCTGTTCCCAGAGTCTTCCCTTCACACCTGTTCTGTATTAGTCTTGTCTGCTCCACCTTTGCTGTTAGCCAATCTCCATTTCCCTCCCTTTGCCCATGTCCTCCCGCTCCAGCTGTGTCTCGACCTTGTGATTAGTTTTCTGTGTATATCTACCTGTGTGTTTCCCTTTGTCAGTTCGCCTGGGTGCATTCTGTGGTTGTTCTTGCATTCATCCCTGTGTTGTTCTTGTGCTCATTTCTGTTCATCTTGGTTTTCCTTTTCAGCTTGTTTTTTGTTCTGTTTGGACTTTTAGTTGCCTGCCTATTCTGGATGTTTTCAATTGGCTACATTAAAGCTCGCTTTTTGTTAAGGACTCAAATGGTCTGTTGGTCTGCATTTGGGTCCTACCTTTGAGCTGACAGAGGCAGACAAGAAGCAAGCACACTCGCAACATTTCACAACAACAAATCTGAGAGAAGGTGACCACTGCTTTTATGTCTGGGTCAGAAAACCCTGCTCCTGAAATGTTACGTTGGGAACTAATTGTGTGCCCCCTTCTGTTATAAGAATAAAACACTAATCACTAATCCCAGAAAGTGTTCGAATGAGCGTGTCAACTGTGTGAAACTATTACGTAACATGAATTTCTTAAAGTTAAATACACAGTCAATTGTTAACCCAGGTGTTAATGTAAAACTAGCATTAAATGAGTTAAAGCAGAGTTTATAGGAGAGGCCTTTGCTCCAGGATTTCTGCAGTGACAAGGCTTCAGTGCCCTAAGTCATTTATTAATAGTGTTCCTGCAAAGCAGATATTCTCAAAGTAACATTTATGTTAACAATTATATTTTTTGGAGACCTTCAAAAGCTCTCAGTCACTATAAGCAGTAGGTGAGGTGCCGTACCAGAGAGATGAACTTTCCACGTGATTTTTCACTAATCTGTCCTCCAGAAGTCGTCCAAGATACGCTGGCACAGGGATGCCGTCCCTGGCCAGTTTAATTGTTGGCTCAAACAGCTTGGCCCAAGACAGCTTCCCATACTGTTTGTGAACTGCCTCATAACCACGCAGCTCTCCGGGAACGCCGATCCACTGGCTGCCTACAGTGAACAGGTGGGAAACAGTGCAGCTGCATTAAACAAATGATGGAAACCAATGATCAAAACTTCAGGTGGACTTACTGTATGTGGGAAAGAAGGAGGAGCAATACAATGTTTTTGACTCCTGATGATATTGTTTGTTAAGATCAACAAATGTGGTTACATTCATAAAATTTGAGCAATTTAAGCCCTACTGAGTCTTCTTCTGTGATAGGTGGTGATTTCAAGCAAATTTAAAGGTTCCGTTTTTAGGATTTAAGGGGATATATTGTCAGAAAAAGAATAATAATAATCACCATCAGTCATCACCTTTGTTACCTTAGAATGAGCTGTTAAAATAGGCAGCAGGTTCTCGTCTACTGAGACTGACATTGTTTCTACAGTAGCCTAGAAAAAAGGTTGTAAATTTACTAATTTCTTAAGAGAAAAATGGTGTTGAAAATGATCCATGAGTTACTGAGATGACACCACAAGAGGAAGTGTGGGTAGGAAATGTTTATAATAAGCTACTTTACACCGATAGACTGTTCGGCCTACCTGTGATCACTCCGAATGATTTGGGACAGTCATTTAACAGGTTAGTTTTGTAAGACTGCGGGACGGTCTCTCTGAAGTTGTAGACTTTAACATTGCCTGAGAAGAGACCAGCAATTCAGAATGATCAGCCTAATCAGTCATTATCAATTGTGGTTGCACAAATCAATGAGAAGACCCACCTTTTTTATTTCTTATGGTGAAGAAAGATCCCCCTCCAATCCCCATGCTCTGAGGGTTGACCACAGATGTGCACAGAAGAGCTGCAATGGCGCCATCTACTGCCGAGCCTCCCTGCTGGAGGATGTTCCTGGAAAACATGTTCCCAGTCATTCACACTGAATTTATGGGAAATGTATGAACCCACAGTCACTCACTCCCTGGCAAGATATCTGCCCACCCACAGACACACATGGACACATTCTCTGATAGTTGCACACATCACTGCAGACCTGGGGGTTCAGTGTTTCAGGGTATCAAAGTATAGGAGTGCTGCCAAAAGGCAAGTTTAAACCATGTGCTAATGCTTGAGGTAGATTTCAGGCAGCATACCAAGAAGGCACTGGCCATGGTGTTGCTTTGAAACTTAACTCTACTAAACTGTCTGTCTTAACAAATAAAATTCATTTGTTATAATAAGGCTCACACAGCTTAATTAAACTGCACAACAGAGCATGTAAGCTAAAATCTGAACCAACTCCCAGAGCTCTGAATGGGTCCTTTCACTCAGAGGCTGGCATGGCATCAGATGTGCTCACTGAGCGACAAGAGAAGGGGGTGTCAGGAATGCTTTGGCTCTGTTAACGTCAAGTGAACTCAGGCCTTAAAGGTTGCAGGGTCTAACAAAGGAAAAAAATCCCAGGAGGTCAAATGACAGACTAAAATCTAACGAAGAATCTCACTAAAAGAGTCCTATGTGAACATGAATGTTTGACACTGGTTTATGTCTTTACATCGTAAACTGAACTTTTCATGAGATATTGTCTGCAGAAGGACAAAAGCAAATGTAGGTTGTATATTTGTATTTACTGTGTTTTCATTAGTTTCTATCCATACCTGAAACAGTAGGGTAAAAAGTTAGTTTGGAAAAATTGGAGATAAGAGAGTCTTTCCTGCTTTTTTTTACTGCAACTGCTGCACAACAATTTCCCTCAGATTAAATTATCTTATCTTATCTTATCTATTTTTTTCCTTTTCTGCAGACTAGGACTAGGAACTATAGCTTTCAAAACTTTAAAGCACATGTTGCGCAGATGATATAGTTCAAGAGAAAAAAGGAGTGACAGGGTGTTGTTAAAAGTTTCTTTCATCAAATGAACGTGTTTCCTCAGTACATCACTCATTGAGCTCATATTCATTGTCTCTGCTGTGAAGTGGGAAATGAACATGTGGACAGAAAAAAGCTCTGCAACTGAACACAAAAGCAGGAAGAGCTTCATGCACATTCCAGTGATGCAAAAAAAAAAAAAAACCCTCACCTTTATTCTATATTTGGAGTTACTATGATGATAGATTGATAAAGTCCATACTGTGGCTCACCACTGAACAAATGACTGCATCAATGAGTAGATTAAAAACAAAGTAAATCTGTGCCATCCATATTAGATAGATTAGGATCAGCATGCGGTTTGGAAACCTGTTTTTTCTGTTACTGTCACATCCAGCAGGCTAGTTTCAACGTCTATCAACAAGAGGTGAGGAGAATCAGGGCCTGTCTGCACACAGTTCTGCAGGCATTATCTCTATTCTTCAAACAGAGCCTATCAAATCTCTTAAACTGCTTATCCCATTGCTCAGTTCAGCTTTTTATCTCACCCACAGGAGCAGAGGGAGAGTGCAGCCTGGCAATACGCAGAGTTATGAGTAACTAAAGCCATTTTTGTGAATAAAATAAAGTGATGGGCATGCTGTACACTGTATCTAACACAACCTTATTTAACTCACAAATTCCCCCAACAAAGAAAAAACAGCATTCACACTTCAGTTTAGAGGTTTGTAGATACAGTGCACGGAGCCAACTTCAGCTCTGATTTCTTAGAACTCAACACAACTTTGCAGAAGGTGACTTACCTGCCAATCTCGGAGCAAAGTCGCGAGTCCGCAGCCACAGCCGCGTGCGTAAAGCTCCCGCTGGGACACTCTCTGCCCACAAGTGAGACGATGCAAAGACAGATGAGGGCAACCGCGCAAATCACACCAGCCAAGATGAAGCAGCACAACATCCACGGCTTGTATTTCTTAGCCATTGCAGCGCCTGTCCAGGAATCTTTGCGTCAAAGGGAAACTGTTGCTGCTGCCGCTCAGTGCGCACACATATGAACCCTGCCTAATCCTGAACGTGGGTTTACCCCTCCCCTCCATCAACTGTCTGCTGTGCTGAAGTGAAACCGAGGAGCAATGGGACGGAGTTACTGGACAGCATCACTACGAAAATGACTACAGCGTGTAAATCTGTATTTATCATCCCACTCTCACCCCACAAACCCTGTGGGAATAACTATGACCTCACGGTTATTTCCAGATGTTGGTGTTTTTTTTTTTTGGAAGTTTAACTGATGTCTGAATTGCTGTAAATGAGTTCATTGTTTTATCAGTTCCAGGCAACTTGGCACAGTTTTCCCCCTTTTGTCTTTTTTTTTTTTTTTTTTTTTAGCTCCCGCAGCTCCACTTCTCACTAACCAACAGTATTGGGAAACACACACAGCTACTGGATCAAATGTGTAGATTACAGGGGACACAGGGGACACTCCCCCCTCAGTATTTACAACAAAAGCATTCCCCTTCAATTAAAACATGAAAGTAGCTTTATTTGGGCAAAATTAATGACATTTTTATCATAAACTGATGCAGAAAAAGAACAAACTGAGGCATAGAAATACACAAGAATGCAGAAAATTAAGTGTATGATGCTCAAAATTTTATAGTGAAGGACCCCCAACTTCCTGTTTAATATGTGTCCTTGCCACTGTTGAAAAGAAATCTACACCCCTGCCCTGACTGAGGGGTGAATGAATGATCTTTAGTGTCATTATACTCAGCTATTTCATAAGGCTTCTCCCTGTGCTGTAAAAATTAAGCAAATAGATAAAAGAAGTGATTGCAGCATAATGTTCTGAAGACTTATGCAAGTAATACTACTACCACTACTACCAATAATAATATATTTAGTTTATAGATCACACTTTAAAATTAAATTAAATTTACACATTTACAAGGTTACAAATTTGCAGGGATGAAAGTTATAAATAATAAATAAATGTTAAATCTTTGTTTCTAATGTTTTTTGCGTGTGTGTTTGTTTCACAGTCCTTGATGTCGGTGTGTGTGTGCGCTCACAGTTCCTGTCATCTTTTCTGTTGTTGGGCAGGGAGGTTTGAGAAGGAGGCCAAAGCTCTCAAGTTTAAGTTACTTTATTTCTACCAGTAGGTAGATTTTTAGGGAAGGAAGCTGTGTGGTATCTTATTGTTCTAAACTATTTGCTGGAAGGCAGCTGTTCAAACAGGAAGTTCTTAGTGTGTGGTGCCTCTGATCGACTGGCACAGATAATATCCGGGTTTGGGAGCTCAATCCAGACAATGTGCTGGGCCACCTTCGCCACACAATGTAGATCCTTTCGCTTACTAACAGTGGCACGGTTAATCAGGATGCTCCTGTAAAGATTTCATAGCAGTTTGTGTGAGAGCTGGGCCTGTTTTAGTTTCCTGAGGAAGAAGAGTCTTTGTTGGGCCTGTTATGACCAGGTGCGAGGTGATGGAGGTCCATGTCAGGTGTTTTGACACTCTAAGGGACTTGAAGTTTTTCATATTTTCCACTGCTTCTCCATGTATGAGTAGGGAGAGATGGACTTTCTCCTTGGTTCTCTAGAAGTCAGTAACCATTCTCCTTAGAGCCCTCACACTCCAAGTGTGTGTGTCCCACACCATTGGCACTAGTCGACCCTTGTTGGCCCTTGTCTGCCCTTGTTGTCCATTGTTTGGGTTTTTTTTGCTGATTTATTGTGTTGAACTGGCATTTGAGCCATTGTAATCACTGTGATTGTAACTTTAGCTCTGTGCAGCTGAAGAAAAATGGAAGTTATGAAAGAAACAAAGGGCTAAAGTCAAAAGAGTATGAAATCAAAAAAGGTGTTATATTATGTAAGATTTTTTTTTTCTACTACTGGCGACTGAAGGGCTACCAAGCAGAATAAGATTTCTGTGTGTTTTTGATGTTGCAGCACATATTGACAATCCCAAAAGTCTCCAGATGACCAGGCTACCCTTAAGCTGTGTAGAGTGGCACAAGCCCAGACTGGGAACATGAGCACAATAAAGCTGCCAGCACCTCAGACACTCTATCTCCAACTTGACTCATTTTAACTTCAGGTGAAAGCTGATTCAGTAAAGTTAACACTGAAACCACAAAGCTCCACCCAAACTCTGGATTTCAGCCCTGCAGGTGACTGCAGCAGAGGGCAACAAGACTGAACATGTGAGCTGGTACATTGCCAAATCTTCCAGCCAGCATGGAGGAGAGCCAATCTGATAATTCATGAGCTAATTGCACATGATCACACATGGTTAGCCTGTGGGGAGGAATAGTAAATACCAGGTTATATATGAATGATCTGGTACAGTATAGGTGCTGCTATATCTCAATTTGCCTCCATGTGTCAGTGTTTGTGCTGGAAGTCTCTTTATGTAATGTAAAAGTGTGTCAGGTTAAAAGGACACTTCAGCTGTCAGATCCCTGCTCCTTTTGAAAGCCTGCATAAATTCCTAAACCCATTCCATCTGGATGTACTGGCCAGATGCACCAATATAATCTTCACCTTCCTGGACCTAAAGGGAGAAACAAAGCACAAGCAGCAGGCCAGGCAAGACACAAACTAACAAGCCATGGCAGATCCAGACAGCCTCAGCATGCACCTGTGCCTGACTGTCCCCAGTGGTCCAGTGTGGCGTTCGCTGACCGAGGTGCTGAATGTGCTCTGGCAAAGGTGTCACTGACTGTCGCTGTCCGTGGTGCTGACCCTCAGCTGGGGCAAAGCCCTCGGGAACTGTAAGGGTCTAGTGCCATGAGAGACAGCTGTTTTTCCACTGCTATTTATAGTAATGTCGAACTGAATCTTAGTTGACAGTAAATTGTTTCTATTAACTAATATTTAAAGCAACACTAATCTTGCCTTTACCTCAGCAGGATTTTTTAAAGTTGTTTTTCCACTAATAAATAGTTTAATTTTAGGAGATTTTCCTTATGTTAATCCCTATCTATAGGCAGTTTACACAGGGACATATGTATAGTGAGTGGCCAGACACATGACTATATACAGTGTGTTTTAAATGTACTGTTTATGAACTGTATAAGATGTCATTTCAATGCTGAGGGAGACATTGATATGATTTACATACATCCTGTCCAGTGCTGCCTATGGCCACATAAACCTTCAACACAAGGGGGAGATGGTGTGTATATTTCCAGTAGGAAACCTCTTGGCTCCTGTGATGATCACCAGTAAAACATCATCATCACTCTATAGGTTTGGTGTCTTGTTTGGTACCTTAAATTTCTACCTCATTCAGACAGGAGCTGTTTGATGAAAAGGGATTTTGGAGCCCCTTATAACTTCTTCAATGGAGGAGTTTAATGTGCAAAAGGCTGGAGAGGATGGTGTCAGAGTCTAGGGATGTGGCAGTACAGCACCAACAGTCTCAGCGGAGAGGAGAGGCAGATTTACAGGCTCAGGATGCATTTACACATGGGGATATTTTAAGGCAGGTGCAGTATTGGTATGGGGGGTTTGGGCTGAGCATAACACAGCCTGTATGGAGCAAAGCAACAGCAGCTGGCAGCAGGAACCTGGTTGTAGAGAAATTTAGAGGCAAGAAGAGGATCTTGGATGTGCAAAAGCAGTCTCTCAGGCTAAACAGGGCCAGGTGATGAGTTGAGAAAGTGTAGACAAGGGTGTAAAAGAAGTGTGTGCAAAAATTGACACAAGATAGGATTTTGTTTGTTTGCGACAGTAAACAAGTCAGTGGGCAAGTAATTTTGAACAGGCATGAAATAGGGCAGCTAAAGATAGGGAGGCACTGGAAAATGTGAGAGGATAATAGCTCATAGTCCCTCAGGAGACTGCTGCCACTAATCTAAAACCAGATCTTGTGTTGTGGTCAGTGTTGTATATTTTATGACAGTATTATGGGAGGATGCAATAGAAATGACCTGAGGGAAATATACAGAGTCAGGAGTTGGGAGCAGAAGTTTGTACCCTCAGGTCCATCCAGTGGTGGATGGCTGCAGGAGTTTTGCACACATGCCTGCAGGGCTTTTGTTTTTGAGTTGTTTCGTTGGTATTTCATGTTTTAGTACTCTGTGATGAGATTCTGTGCCAGGAAAGGCTCCTCCTGCTGGGATCTACTTGTTGTTTTGGTTTTGCTGGTTGTGATAATCTATAATTAACCCCACTTGTGGATATTGTTTGCGATGTTGGCAGATTATGTGCTGAAGAAGGGTGTCTGCCCCAAAACATCCATGTGGCAATATTATAAAGTAAATGGGGATGCTGTCCTAGTGTTTACCTTGGCAGAAATCTGTTCTTTTTAAACCAAAACACAATCATTTCCTTAAATCTAACCGAGTAAAGGCTTTCTGGCAGAAAGCTCTGAAGGTAACAGCAGGTTTTGTTAGCAGATCAGTATTTTCCCTGCTAACTGAGCTGGGTGTGAGAGGGCAGAGCCAAAAGCAGGCACTAAACAACATGGCTGACACTGCTACCATTTCCAGTGCTGTGGAATAGAAGAAAGGTGAGTGACTGGAACAAAGATAGATGAGTTCAGGACTTATAACATCAACATGTGATGCAATAATAGACAGAAGTGTACAGTGTGGTGCTTGTTAAGATGAAGTAGGTGAAGGGTCTTCCCCCAGCATGTGTGGTGGATTGAGCAACATGCTGCTGAGGGTTAGGTGGCTGCAGGCCTGACAGGCTTTTGGATCAACTTGTTGCTGCATGTCGTTGGTTAATGGTGTGAGACAGAAGTGCATGCTTTGTTGATTGCTGAGGTGAGACTAGCTGTTTTATGGTGACATGGGCAGCGTGCTCATTAACATGATATATTGGGCCTCATTCACAGTGTGTATACACAAACCTGTGCTTAAACTGTGCTTACAAATGTTTTATGCACAAGTCTGGGATTCATTAATATTTTCTCATGTGAATTTGTTCATCCTCCGTAAGCAAATTTAGAACTGCCTTAAGACTGCAGCTGATCGGAAGATTGGTGGTTTGATCCCCGGCTCCTCCAGTCCACACGTCGAGGTATCCTTGGGCAAGACACTGACCCCCAAATTGCTCCTGATGGCTGTTCCATCAGTGTGTGAGAGTATGTGAATGGTTATTGAGTATCTTGTATGGTAGTCTCAGACATCAGTGTGTTAATGTGTGTGTGAATGGATGAATGTGACATAGTGTAAAAGTGCTTTGAGTGGTCAGATGACTAGAAAGGCCCAGCTGTATTAGAAAATGTAAACACACCTTTTCACTAAATGTATATTTAGTAAAAATGCATTGAGGCTTTACTAGACAAGATTTAAAACCAT